CTATTCCATAAAGAAATGAGCTCAAACATTCTAAATGTGTTTTAGCAAAATAAAGTCCCATGAAAGGGATAACCTTTAACTCTTAAAAATGTAAAGCCAAATTTTTATCATCTGGTACTGGAACAAAGACAAAGGAGCTTTTGTTTTTAAGTATCTAATTATTTTTTAATTCATTCTTTTCCACAGTAGGCAAGAGACCAAAATGGCAAGAAGCAATCGAACCACAGTGACAGAATTTGTCCTCATGGGATTCACAGACCATCCGGAGCTTCAGCTCCCCCTCTTTGTGATGTTCCTGGTAATCTATCTCATCACCCTAGTGGGAAATCTTGGCCTGATCCTGCTCATCAAGGCGGATTCGCGCCTCCACACCCCCATGTACTATTTTCTCAGTCACCTGGCATTCATTGATCTTTGTTATTCATCTTCCATTGGACCCAAGATGCTGCAGAATTTATTGGTGAAGAAAAAAACTATTTCCTTTTCTGGCTGTTTTGCTCAGCTGTACTTCTCTAGTGCTTTTGCAACTACCGAATGCTTCCTCTTGGCTACAATGGCCTATGACCGCTACATGGCCATCTGCAACCCTCTGATTTACACAGCCATTATGACCCAGCGGGTCTGCAAGGAGTTGGTGATAGGAGTCTACACCTATGGCTTCCTGAACTCTGTGATACAAACTGTCCTGACTTTCCAGTTGTCTTTCTGCGACTCCAACATGATCCTCCACTTCTACTGTGCTGACCCTCCTCTTCTTGCCCTTTCCTGCTCTGATACCCACAACAAAGAGAAGCAGCTCCTGATCTTCTCTGCAGTGAATCTCATTGGATCCCTCCTGATGGTCCTCATCTCCTATATCTGCATCCTCTTCTCTATTTTAAAAATCCAGTCTTCCGAGGGCAAGTGCAAAGCATTTTCCACCTGCGCCTCCCACCTCACTGTGGTCACCATCTTTTACGGGACATTATTTTTCATGTACCTGCAGCAACCAAAAGCAGAGAATTCGTGGAAATACAACAAAGTGATCTCTGTGTTTTGTAGTCTTGTGATTCCCATGCTTAATCCTCTGATCTACAGCCTGAGGAACACGGAAGTAAAAAACACCCTGAAAAAATTGCTAGAGGGCAAAGAATCATAGTGAGCAAGTTATCAGAATGTGGTGGTATGCAAGTGTGATATACTGACACGGTATAACCAATGTGATAGAAAGTTAATCCAACCAATCATCATGAACTAATCAGGATTAATTTACAAGCTATAATGTCAATAATTGTCTGTCTTTCATCTATTGAAAATGAAGTGGCTACTACTAATTTGACAAAATATAAGCTCTCAATTTTTAAAAAAAAAATCCTCAAAAACAACATTCTGGGTGACTATACATTAATAAACATGGGTATAAAACCCTTACAATTAAAAAAAATGCTATTAGAAACATTTTCCAGCTTAAAGCAGGTTATATTGAACCAAGTCATTTGTTAGTCTTAAAAAGCATTTCTTCATAATATATCGCTACAGGTAGTGGTTACATTTCAAGACCAGCTCACAAAAGGTGTATTTAATCCAAATATAGTTGAAAATTGCATGCTTTAAGTAAACAAAAATAATATTGTAGCCATAATAA